GTGTGTGCATGTGCACGTGTGTGCGTGACTGTGTACATTCGAGTGTGTGTGCACATGCTGGGGCAGGGTGTTCGTTCCCTCCCACTCTGCTTTGCCCTGCCAAGATGGGCTCTTCCAGGAAGAGAGAGACCCTCGTGCGAAGCAGTGCACATGCTGGCAGCTGGAGGTTAGGTGAAGGCTCTGGGCGGTGGCGGCGGCCGGTTCTGAAGGTTAAATGAGTTCCCTGTCATGAAGCCTTAGCCACGTCCCCGGCACAGCGTCCGCGCTCCTCCAAGCACCCGATTCGCACAAAAGCTAGAGAGCTGTCCCCGGGAGTGACGTTTTATCTCAGGACGGATTTTCCGTGTTTTTTGTGTTCCATTTTCCCCTCTGAGACTGCGCCCCACGAGGAGGAGCTTGGCCCTGTCACAGCGGCGGGATGCCTCGCAGGTCTTCCCGGGATGGCTGGGAGCTGAGCTGGGTGACTGACGCGCTGTCTCCGTCAGAGGGAGCACCATCCTGTCACCGTGACACGTGTGACAAGCGCCTGCCTCGCTGTTGGAGGAGCGGGCACGGGATCAGCACCCCACTCCTTGCCTGAGGGCACCCCTAGCCCTGCAGACACACCAACCCGGAGTCCGAGAGGCTTAACAGGAGGCACCGGCAGCCTCATGTCCTCCCTCCTGCTGGCTGGCACCGGGAGCTCATGGAAGACAGGCTCCCGGCTGGATTTCAGTCCCACTGAGCCCTTAGCACGTGGTCCAGGGCATGGCACAAAGAGGGGACACTGGTAAGTGAATGGGCGTTCAGCATGACTTACCATGTCAGTAAAAGTGGACGGTATCTCTGTTTCTAGAATATTCTGATGTCATCAAGCAAATAGACTCATCAGTGGGACTGCCCTCTGAGCAAGGCACCCTTCCCCTAGCAAACCTTTGAAAGCAGAGCCTGTGTCTCTACAGTGCCTCCTGCGGGGCCACAGGTATATGTGCGGTGCTCAATAAATGCCACAGGTATATGTGCGGTGCTCAATAAATGCCACAGGTATATGTGCGGTGCTCAATAAATGCCACAGGTATATGTGCGGTGCTCAATAAATGCCACAGGTATATGTGTGGTGCTCAATAGATGCCACGGGTATATGTGTGGTGCTCAATAGATGCCACGGGTATATGTGTGGTGCTCAATAGATGCCAAAGAATGGGGGTGACGCTTTTCCATCCAAGAGCAGGCATCTATTTTAGGGACACACCCATCTGCCTGACAGGTCTCTCTCTACACTAATTTAGTCCTCATAAGTGTCCGACCTCAACCTCAAGCATGATCAAAGCCCTTCCATGCTCAAGAACTTGGCCTGGATTTTCATTGTCCTAGAAAATGTCTAATGGCAACTACACTTTAAAAAGGCCCCATATTGCAATAGAACGTCAGCACTTGACAGAGGCCCAGAGACCATCTATTGTAGCCCCCTCTATCTCTGCCCCCCACTAGTTTTATGGGGTTCCGATCAGGGGAAGGGAATTAGACAAGGATGCAGAGGTCAGTGTGGAGACAGGCCTGGAATCAGGCCTCCAGAGGCCCGGCCCAGGGCTCACCCTCTGTGAGCACCGCGCTCAGAGCACAGCTTTCTGCAAGGGGGCGCTGAGTTCTCCTCCCCCCTCACTCCCACCTCCTCCTCCTCCCTGCCACGCACGGTAACCATTTTGATACAGTTTTATCCCTCTTTGGCCTCTGATGCAGAGGTTAGATAATTAACCAGGCCTTTGAATACTTAAAATTATTTTAAAATGCCTTTGTATCTGTGAAAATTGCCCCAGTAATTACTGCTTTATCAAGAGACGGATTCCTGGAACTGCAATCTTTCCTGCAGATAAGATGCTCTTTCGCTCGAGGCTCTGGGACTCGGGAGCTGAGGAAGGAGGGTTGGGAACGTGAGCCCGCACTCCTGAGGAGGAGCAGCACCCAGTCTGACTCCACAGTCTCCACAGAACCTCCCTCCTTCGCAGACTTAGATTTCCCAACGAGATACAGCATGTTGCTTTCAGAGCCTGCTGAGAGTAGGATCATTCATTAAAATATTGCATTGATTATTCCAAACGGATTCTTCACTTGGGCCTTGCGGAGCCTGGTTTCCAGATTCGGCATCCACTTCTGTCTCTCTCTCTCTCTCTCTCTCTCTCTCTCTCTCTCTCTCTCTCTATATATATATATATATATATATATATATATATATATAAATATATATATATATATATATATATATATATATATATATATACACGTACATACACACACACACACACACACACACACACACACACACGTGGGAGCAAAGTGAAGGCTTGTTTCTTGTTTTCCTCAAGTGAGCCCTGGTCCTTCCTGACCCAGCAACACATGGTGCTGAGCCCTAAGGGGTACTATTCTGTTCCTGGAGCCCCACCACTTCTTTTTTAAAAAAATATGTTTTATTGATTTTTTACAGAGAGGAAGGGAGAGAGATAGAGAGCTAGAAACGTCGATGAGAAAGAAACATCAACCAGCTGCCTCCTGCACACCCCCCACTGGGGATGTGCCCGCAACCTACGTACATGCCCCTGACTGGAATCGAACCCGGGGCCCCTGAGTCCGCAGACCGATGCTCCACCACTAAGCCAAACCGGTTTCGGCCCCCACCACTTCTTTGTGGTAACTCCAAACGGGTGTCAGGGCTGACAGCATCATATGGATGCAGGGTGCTTCTGGTGGACATCCCTAGGAATTACAATGCAATGCAAGAACCACCCACCCCACGGGGGGCCCCTGACATCCCTCAGGACCTAGGACAGGACTGATCGCAGCATCTGGGGAGGGACTATAACCCGGGTGTCGGCCCGGGTGGTGTTCATGGGGTTAGATAGGGAGACCTTATGTTATAGTGGTTATAGGCACATGCTCTGGACTCAGACAGTCTGGAGTTGGGTTTCCTGGCTCCTGTTTCTGCTGGCTTCCAGCTGGGACTGGCCAATGGCTTACGTGACTTTGGGTATCTGTCACTTACAACCTGGAGAGTCTAGACTCCTGCAGGAGCCAGTGGGTGAGAGGTTAGACCAGCTCCTGCATGTAGTAATTCTGGTTTCCATTTTGCAAATGAGGACGTAGAGGACACAAACAGGTCAGGTGAACTTGATGGGGATCAAGTTTATTTTCTTTACAAGGAAATGCACTCAAAACCACCAGCTTCTTTAAATAAGGAGGGGATCCCCACATGCTTCTGGAGGCTCAGCCATGGGGGGCAAGAAAGGAGGCGAGGGATGACCAAAGGCAGGTCTACATGCCACTTCGTGCAGGCCTCTCCCTCCCACGCAGGGGTCTAATGAGCAAAGAGAGCATCACATAAATGAGCCACGGACCTCGTTCGTGACCGTGTCTTAAGTCAGGTTCTTCCTGTTAATTGCCCGCACGTTTCGCTAAAGGTAGTAAACAGGAATCATCCTCGCGTCCTCAGGGACCGAGGCGCCGTTCGGTATTCACGACAAATATATCACTGAGCTTCATAAGAGAATCATTTTAAAACAAAGCTTGGTCAGCTGTTTAATAATTTACTGATAGCGACAGCAGGGAGAATATCTAATAACCAGTGAGATTGGCTTTCAAATAGAAAATAAATTCCTGTTAGAAGAGCTATATGAGGGAAATAAGGAAAGGAGGGGGAAGCATTATTAGTGGCAAGGAAATATTTAACATTCGCCAATTCTGGATATTTTTCCCCCTCCCATTGGAATGGAGGAACCTGATTATTGAGTGGTTGCGAAATTCCATGCATTTATATTTTACAACATTCAGGGGCCCTTCATGTTCTTCACACAGGAAACAAGAGTCATACGGCGGGCCGGTGTCTGGAGCAGAGGCTCCCACTCCCCATGAGCACTGGGGAGCACCCCCTTTGCTAATGTGGGGAGTTTTGGGGACTATACGGTTCTCACGATCATATCTCAGTTTCTCCTGGAGCAGGAGAGGCCTGAGACATTTGAAAAGCAAAGCCTCAGAGAAACAAAATCAATCCAACTACAACGATGCGTCCTCCTGCTCAGGGGAGAGCCTTGCTCAGAACTGATGACAGGGCATCTGGCTTCTGGGTAAATGGAACTTACTTTTGTTTCCTGGCAAAGTGCCATCGAAGTGTCTGTAAAATGACAAGGGGTTTGAGATGGTCACACTTGAGGTTTCCTGCCAATTCTAACATTCCTGGTGTGTGGTTTGAAGACACGATGAACGCAGTTTTCTTAAAAGGCCCAGGAGATGTGGAGAGGAAAGCGAACACCAACGACACTATCAGTTACCAAACCTCCTTTGTGCCTCCGTTTCCCCCTGTCAATGGGCGAATGATAAGAGAATTGTAGGGTGGATCCTGCATAAGGCTCCTGGCTGCAGGCCTGGTTCACAGCAAACTCAAGTTCAAGCACGTCAGGAAGGCAGAGGCAAAACCAAGGGGAACATCCCCACGATGATCAGTCTTCAAGCTTCGGGGGCAGACAGTGATGAATGGTGTTTTGGGGGAAAGCAACATCTCGGCCCCCTGCCCTTCAGCCCCCCTCCCCAGAGCGCGGGGCCCACTCTGCCCTCCAGCCAGCCCTTCCACTTGCCTCTCTGGAGACAGGCCTCAGACAAGACAGATGATTTCTGTGTTCCCAGACGGTACTTCCTGCGGCTTTACATTCCAAGATCGTACCCTCCATTCTTCACGTCCATTTCAACAAACTCACTCTTGTTCTGCCCTGAGGTATTAGCACTTTTTTTTTTTTTAGCTTGGAGAAATAATGATTTATCAACGTCTTCCTTGACGTGAGAATGGCTCGGATAACCGTGAGCAGTCAGTTCTGTCAAGCCAAGGAACAATGTCGCTGGCTTGGGCATCTTCCGCCACTATCCCGTCAGGCCCAGGAGGGGCGAGGGACGTTCTGGGGCTGAAGCTTGCTGCTATCGTTTTGGGGGAAATGTCTTTCCGGGTAGCACAGTAAAAAAAAATTAAAACAGATGCCATCCTCTGAGATGGAAAGAATTATTTGTTTCACTGGCGTGGCGATGGAGTGGCTGGCTGGTGAGAACGTTTTGAGGATGACACTTATGCTCTGGCATGGAGGAATGGGAAGGAGGCTGGGTAAATTCAGGGGGTCTATGTAGGCATGGGGATTGGATGGGGCATGGGGCGAGAGGAGGGGTGGGTAAGGAGAGGGCAGACCCTGTGTGTAGGGGCAGGTTTATAGACCACACATTAAAGAGGTTAATGAACATCTCGAAGCATAAGTGAGGTGGATAGATGTCACCTGACTACCCAAGATCCCGTGGAGAAGACACTCCTCCCCCCTCCATAGGCTTCACTGGCTGGCAGTTATGGGGACCGTCCCCAATACAGAGGGGTGGCCAATGACCGAGGCTGGCCAAGGAGACCACTGTCTTCCCCACCACTTCCCTGACCAAACAGGTTGTCTCAGGAAATGGAATGTGACTCTAATCAACCTGCATATTCACTAAAGTTTGGCATGGGTGTTGCAAATGGCCCCTCTGTCTGTCTCTGTCTCTGTCTCTGTCTCTGTCTCTGACAATGCTAAGCTGTGAGAACTATAGATGGAGCTTTCATTGTCCAATTTCTCTGACTACCCACCGAGAGGAGCACAACTAAGACATGGAGAGCGGTGGATCGGGGAGAGAATGAATGGCAATTGAGTCCCTGGATCCAGCTTTGCCTGAATGTGCTCGGAAGCCTTTTAGCTAAATGCATCACTGGACTCCTGTTTTCACTACTTGTTGGAGCCCAATGTCCTCAAGGAGTCTTGCCTAAAATACAACGTAGGTACGTGTTCCAGGCTCAGCGCTCCTCCTCTAAGCCCTTGTAGGTACCAGAGACACAGACTCGGTCAAGATGCAGACCTGGTGGCCTCAGAAGGCTCAGCGTGGTCCCCGGAGGCTCTCAGCTCCCCTTGCTGCTGACACTGCGTCAGCCACTCACCAACGTGCCAGCAACATTTGGTCTGGCCCTGCCAAGGCATGAAAGGTGAGTTAATTAAATGTTGGACCAAATATAGAAGGCTAATTTTTAAGTTGATAATTTTGTGTGGCCCGAGAATGATGTGATAAATACCCAATTTGCCCTTGGCAGAAAGAAATTCTGACCCAGTTCCATGTGATACCAACCAACACCCTGAGCGGGTCTGGAGTGGGCGTGTCCTGTGGACCGATGTGGAGAGTACCATCAACTTTCCCACCACACCCTCTCCATGAGTCCTATTTGAACGTTCAGACTCTCACTTCTGTGAACTTTTGCCTAGCTCAGTGGTCGGCAAACTCATTAATCAACGGAGCCCAATATCAACAGTGCAACAATTGAAATTTGAGAGCCAATTTTTTAAAACTTAAACTTCTAACGCCACTTCTTCAAAATAGACTTGCCCAGGCCATAGTATTTTGTGGAAGAGCCACACTCCAGGGGCCAAAGAACCGTATGTGGCTCTTGAGCTGCAGTTTGCTGACCAGGGGTCTAGCTGTTCCAGCTCCCAGAATGCCCTTCTTTTCTTCTCTACCGGATGAGGGCTCCATGTGGGGGGAGTTCAAGGTGAATTCAGGAGGAACGGGCTTAGAAAGGCAGGCAAAGCCCAGCCAGTGAAGTTTATTCTGAGGGCCACGGGGCATGCGTGAAGGGATTTTAGCTGGCGAGTGACAAGGCTGTAGAGCAGTGTTTTCCAAACTTCTCTCATGATGAAAGTCAGCTGGTTATTAGAATACAGATTCCTGAATCCCAACTAAGAAGTGCTAAACTAGAAACTAAGACAGTGCTCTGTCTTAGAGCACTATTTAAGTATACAATTTTACCTATATGTTCCCAAAAATTCTAGTTTAGTACTTCTTAGTTGGGATTCAGGAATCTGTAGTTTAACAACTTCACCAGGTGATTCTCATCATGAGAGAAGTTTGGGAGACACTGCTGTAGACTAGAGGGATGGTCTTGTTGACTGCTGTGTAGAGTGTGGGTGGGGAGAGGAGGCAGAGAGGAGCTGAGGTTTGAGCTGAGCTCCCTGCAGGGAGATGTGAGGAGTGATAGGTTCACTCCACCTGCGGTAGGCAAGTCCCTGCCTACCTGGGACCCTCCTGAACCCGGGGATGGAGCCAGGAACAAGGAGAGGGGCTGAGAGTCCTAGGGGAGCTCAGTGCTCTGATGAGACCCGTGCCCACTTCCAAGACACCAGGCTGCTGGGAGAACAGATGTGTTTTTGCTGCTTCGTTAGAGAACTATCGATACTTTCCTGGAGGCAAGAAGTCCCGGCTGGGGTGCTATCTTTGTCATGTTTGACGGTCATGAGTCAGACCCTGACACTGCCACCACCACCCTGCTCCTGAGTGCTGGCGGGACCTCGTGGCGTGGCTCCTGTGGATGGGGTCACATTGTTTTGGCATCCCCACTGCTCAGCAAGAGGCTGGCCACAATTAGATATGCAAACATCCACGGAGGGTGCCTGGCACACATCGCTTCATTTTGTTGTTGTTGTTGTTGTTGTTGTTGTGTGTGTGTGTGTGTGTGTGTGTGTAATTAAGAGAAACAGCTGTCTGGCAGAGCCCACTTAGGCAAAGTGAGCTGCAGGTCCGGCATTCCATGCAGGACCTCTCCGGCACTGAGTCCACCTGCCAATAGTCTGGACCGTGAGCTGGTGCTCTGGCCCACAGACGAAGCAGCTGGCTCTCCATGCTGCGCTGCCGTCCAGATGTCTGCGGCAGTTGGCCTGGAGTCAAGGCTGGGCGGTGTGGCCAGCCTAAGTCTTGGAATAGGAAAGAAAGTATCTTTTGAGTGGGCCAAGCCTGGAGGTGTTTTCACCTCCATTAACTCACTTAATTCCCACTCAGCTCGGCGAGGTAGAAATAATCACCCCGATTTCACAGGTGGGGGAACGGATTTGGAGGGGGAGAAGTAACTGGTTCATGGTCACCTCGGTGGCAAAGGGAGGCCTCACCCAAAATGTAGCCCGTTCTAGAGAAGGAAGGAGGTGTTGGGGCCTGAGAATCCTCTCAGAGGAGGAGCAGGAAGGGTGTAAGGGACACGGGATGCGTACCAAGAGCCTGCTGACATCCAAACCAAAGTCACCCAAGTCTAAGGTGACCAGACGTCCCGATTTTTAACAATTTGTCCCGAGTCCCACGGCGTTTGAAAATCGGGACTTTTTTAAAACCCCGCGGGACGCGGGACAAATTGTTAAAAATCAGGACTATCCTCCCAAAAGCGGGACGTCTGGTCACCTTACCAAAGTCAGAAGTGTCTCCGGGCTTCCTTTTCTTTTCTTTTCTTTTCTTTTCTTTTCTTTTCTTTTCTTTTCTTTTCTTTTCTTTTCTTTCTTTCTTTTTTTTTTTAAAGATAGAGACTATTTTTATTTTATTATTATTATTATTATTATTATTTTACAGAGAGGAAGGGAGAGGGATATAGAGTTAGAAACATCCGTGAGAGAGAAACATCGATCAGCTGCCTCCTGCACAGCCCCCACTGGGGATGTGCCTGCAACCAAGATACATGTCCTTGACGGGAATCGAACCTGGGACCTTTCAGTCTGCAAGCCGGCACTCTATCCACTGAGCCAAACTGGTTAGGGCTTTCTTCATGTCCCCAGAAAGAGGAGCCAGCTTTGAAGCAGTGGAACTCTCACCCTGCAAATACAACCCCCCCCCCCCCCCCCCCCCCCCCGCCACTATCCCGCCCTGTCAAGTCCTGCTGGGGGATACAGCATGATGTCACAGAACAAAATGGTTGGCTCACGAGGTTACACTTGAGAAATACTTATCGTCTCTAAGTCGCATTTGGGTTATTTATAATTGCGCGTCTTGACAGACAGCATTAATGTTCCCGCCATAAAAACATTATTCAAGCCGGAGCTACTGGCTCTGAGAAGTCCGTGGTGTGTGCAGAAGCCACTCTGCTAATAGAAAGGTTAACTTGTATTTTTGAATTATTGATGGTGGCTTGTTACTAACTTTTTTTTTTTCCTCAGAAAGGAGGAAATAATTAATGAAGAGATCATTGCCAATGTGTCTGACATCTATTAATGGTTTCATCTTGCAACCAGATTAAAAGAGACAGCTGGTCCATGAATTTATGTGTGGAGACAGCTCCGAACGTGCTGACAACTCTGCGGGCGGGTGGGGCTGCTGGCGGGGGCGGGGAGGGCCCTGGGCCGGGGCACAGGCGGCTGAGGGTGCGGGGAGGGCCACGGGCCCGGCCTCATCACAGGGCTCCGGGAGGCTTTGCTGCAGAGGGGCCGGGCAGCGAATGGGCTGTCACTCTTCTGACATCTTTCCAAACTCCTCTGTTCTCATGGGAGCCTCGTAGCACCTTCCCCGTGCCAGTCACCGGGTGGCATTTCCTGCGTGGGCGCTCAGATGAGTGGTTTTCAACTGGAGCCTGCATCGGAAGGTCCTGGGAAGCTGCTTCAAACACAGGTTCCTGGGCCCCACCGCCAGCATGCCTGATTCAGTAAGTCAGGGATGGGACCTGAGAATGTGCATTTCTAACAGGTTCCCAGGTGCTGCTGCTGCTGCTGCTGGTCCAAGGCTCACACCCCAATGCTTATCAGACCGTGCGGCGAGACTGCCTGCAGAGAGGGGCCGGCAAACCTCTGTAAAGGGCAAGACAGGGTAACCTCATGAGCCAACCGTTTTGTTCTGTCGGCATTCTGGTCTCTCAGCGCTGCTCTGTAGCACAGACAGCAGCCACAGGCACCATGTAAATACACACGCGGCATGTGTTCCAATAAAGCTTTATTGATAAACGCAGGAAGTGGACCAAACCCGGAGTAAGCCTGCTGACCTCTGTTCTGGAGCAGCACATTCATCTGGAACTTTCTAGAAAAAGCAGCCATGGGCAGTCCTGAGCAGCACAAACAGAATTTCCTGTGATGATGGACATGTTCTATATCTGTGCCTCCAATATGGCAGCCACTGAACACTTCAGGTGTGGTTAGAATGACTTAAAATGGAGTTTCTAAATTTTAAATGGAAATGGCTAGTGGTGCTCGCTTCACATTAAGAAAAGATTCTCTCTCATGGGGTGGCCATTCCTTGGCCACCTCCTTACACAGGGTCTTTGCCCTCTTGGTGCCTCAGTTTCCTCCTTCGTCAGATGGGAATAAAAGAGTAGCTGTCACCTGCTTTTCCCATCAGGGGAGTGAGGCACCTTGACCCAAGGTGTCTCCCCAGTTTCCCCACCCCATGCTTTGCTCCCTACTGGAGCTCTGACTATCCCTGGGGGGTGGGGGGGAGCTGGGGGACAGAAGGGGACAGATGGAAGCCATCTCTGCCTCTCCCTGCCCTTCCCCTCCTTCTCTCTGTCCAGTCTCCTCCCCTCACTGTAAGCTCCAAGAACCAACTACTGCGGCTACTGCACAAGCTGCCAGCCTCCCGCCTGCGGGTCCCTGGCACAGGGCAGACGGCTAGCTCACTTGCTGACAGGATGCCCTGAGGTTCAGGCTTCCCCGCTGACTGCTGGGGTGAGGAGATCTGCAGCTAAAATGTCTGGCCGCTCCGGCCTCGGGCCCCCACCAGAGCTGAGAGGGAGCCCACTGCTCAGATAAGAAAACTGAGGCCCAGAGAAGGACTGAGTCACCCTAAGGATCAGAGGCTGCCTTCTTGAGCAGAATGGAAGGGGCGGCAGAATGCCAGTGCGCCCTCTCCAGCTCCTGGCTCCAGCACTGAGGCTGAGCCAGCCCGGAGCTCCCAGGCTGATGGGGGTTTGGGGGGGGGGGGAAGCAGCCACAGCCACTCTTTTCTAATGAGCCCTGGGCCCCTGTGAGGGAGGGTGCAGGATGCTGCTGCCACCCCCCCCCCCCCAGAAGCCGGTTCAGAGGGGGCCTGGTGAGAGCCATCTGTGGCCAAGATCCTCTTAAGTGAGAACTGGGGTCCGTGGAACTGACCCAGAGAGAAACCACATCCCCACCGTGTGAGAAGCATCACCACAGCCGCCAGGTCTTGGGCAGGAAGTGCGTCTCGGCCAAAGATTCACAGGAAACCTTAACGCGAGTTCACCAGGGAAACGATGCTGGGAAGGGTGGTCCATGCAGAGGGAACAGCGGGTGCCCGAGCTCAGCGGTGTGCCTGGTGCCAGGGCCCTGCCATGAGCCGGCGGGAGCAGGTGCTCCTGGGAGAGCACAGAGGGCCGGGCACCTGGGTGTGCAGGTGGTTGGGAGAGCACAGAGGGCCGTTTCTGGGCGTGCAGGCGGCTGGGAGAGCACAGAGGGCCGGGCAGCTGGGCGGGCACAGCCCGGGCCGAGGCCGGGCACTGGGCTTGCTCCCCCGGCTGGGCTACCTTGGCAATGGAGCCTCTCTCAGGCCACACGAACCCCATTCACCCTTGGGAGCTTTTCGGGCAGCCATGTGACACAGTGGGGGGCTCAGGAGGGTGCAGGAGGGCGTGTGCTCTGAAGACACAGAACTGGTGTTTCTACTTCTCAGAGAGCTCGAGAGGGCGTGAAGAGGAGCCCCAGGGAGCGGGGACAAGTTAGAAGTGTGACACCGAGCTCATTACTGGCTTAGAACCCTCCTGCTGCTCTAGGTCTGGCCGTGCCCTGCGATCAGCCATGCCTAGGGGCATAGGTCATGGAATGGGGTCAGCCATGCCTAGGGGCATAGGTCATGGACTGGGGTCAGCCATGCCTAGGGGCATAGGTCATGGACTGGGGTCAGGCCTCTCTGCAGGCCCTGGGTGAGGGTAGGAAACAGGCAGCAGTTTAGCTCTGAGCCTAAAGCAGTGGTTGGCAAACTGCAACTCGCGAGCCACATGCGGCTCTTTGGCCCCTTGAGTATGGCTTGGTGTTAGAACCACTTCTTCAAAATAGATAGTACAGTGATTGAAATTTCTTCCGAAAACCGACTCTGCGCATGGGCCACGGAGTTTCAGTGGCACTGTACGTGTGAGCCTGCACGTGGTATTTTTTGGAAGAGCCACACTCAAGGGGCCAAAGAGCCGCATGTGGCTCGTGAGCCGCTGTTTGCCGACCACTGGCCTAAGTGATCTCCCCTTCCACATGTCCTGAGGGCCATTCATCTCTGCCTCCCCAGAGACTTGGCACTGAGTAAGGCGCCCAGTTAGGTGTTCCGTTAAGTGTTTGTAGAATTGTTAAGTGTTAAGAATTCCCGAGGCAGCCTGTGAGGTCCCACTCAGAGTTCCCACCATCCCCACCGGTGCAGTCCCACCTCCCCCAGACAGGGGACCTGGGAACCAGGACCTGGAGAAGCCTGCCTGGCAATGTGTGTGTGTATGTGTGAGTGTGTGAGTGTGTGTGTGTGTGTGTGTGTGTGTGTGAGAGAGAGAGTGTGTGTGTGTGAGACACACTGGCTATGCCAATAGACCAGTCCAAGCCCTTCACCTTGTGAAGGTGGGGGTAGTGGTGGCAGCCAGAGGGCAGAAGCAATTGCCTAGGGTTACATGTGAGGGTGGGGAGGTAATGGGTCTTATTCAAGGGCACTGACCCCCTCCACCCGGTGGAAACTGGGGGGGAGTGGGGGGGGGTGAGGAGGAGGCAGAGAGGCCCGGTGTTCTCTGCTGTAGCAACTCAATCCAGAGTGCAGGCGCCCCGCTATGGAAATCCTGGCCAGGCCTGATTATATTTCGCCCCCAAAGTCTGTCCAGCCCAATTCTTGGAATTCCAAGGATGAGGGTTGCAGGGGGAGGGAGGGGGATGGCTGTCCTGATAGGAAGGAGCATTGCCCAGGTGTTCAGCCCCCGGTTTTTACAGCCCCGCCCCCACCCCCCTCCCCAGGCCAGGGTCCCGGAGAGCCCCGCTCCCAGGAGGGCAGAGTCTGAGCGAGGGGACAGGGTTGACTCTGATCTGTGGTTTCCAGCCCCCAGCAGGCCTCTGTTCAGACCGGGGAGAAAAAGGAGCAGGCTGCCCGGTTCAGTTTCTGGAGGAAGGGAAGGGGGTGAGGCAGCGGGGAAAGGAGTGGCGGGAAAGGAGTGCCGCTCTGCCCCTCCAACGTGGGGGCGGGACAGGGAGAGATGTGGGTGGCTCAGAGGATACCTGGGCGCTGATGGGAGCGGGAGGGGGGGGCAGGTGACCGCAGCGTGGTCAGTCAGGCGCCCAGAAGAGAGAGAGAGTGTGTGAGTGTGAGTGTGTGTGAGTGTGAGAGTGTGTGTGTGTGTGTGTGTGTGTGTGTGTGTTTGTGTGTGTGTTGGCAGGTGCTGACGCTTGGACGAAATTCTCATCTCAGGGCGTGCCCAGGCCTCGCCAGCAGGTGCCTGCCGCCCCAGTTTAGGGCAGATGCCCCGTTCCTCCTCTCCCGGACCACCACCCCATTCACTGGCTTCCTCCCCGCCTCCCCCATCGCACCCCCCCCCCCACTCACCTGTTCTCCCATTCCGAGTTCAAAAGGCTGTCGTTCCCCTTTTCACCCCCCGCCCCCCCCCTCCCCCCGCCGCCCCCGGTGCCTGCGCCCCAGCCGGCAGGGATGCCTGGCTGCGGGGGGCACAGGGGCGAGGACCCCGCGGGGCTTGCTCGTGCGGTGTGTGTGTGCGCGGGTGTATGTGCGGTGTGTGTGCGGTGTGTGTGTGTGCGCTGTGTGCGGGTGTATGTGCGATGTGTGTGTGTGTGCGGTGTGTGTGCGGTGTGTGTGCGGGTGTGTATGCGGGTGTGTGCGGTGTGTGTGCGAGTGTGTGTGGGTGTATGTGCGGTGTGTGTGTGCGGGTGTGTGCGGAGTGTGCGGTGTGTGTTTGTGTGTGTGTGTGTGTGTGTGGTGTGTGTGCGGGCGGAGGGGATGCGTTAGGCGCGTGACTGTGCAGAGCCCGGAGCCCAGGCTGAGCGGGCGCGGGGCGCGGGCGCGGGGGTGAGCGCGGTGGGCGGAGCGCCGGGCGGCGGCGTTAGGACTCGGGGGACACCGCCCCCGGCCCGCCCCCGGCCGCCCAGCCGCCGCCTCTCCAGCCTCAGTTCGCGCCGCGCCTCGGACCCAGCGCGGCGCTGACTCCGGAGCCGCAGACCCAGCGCCAGCGGCCGGCGATGCGGGGCCGCCCCGCGCCCGCCCCAGCCCCGGCGCCGGCGCCCGCGGACAGGGACAGGGACAGGGACAGGGACAGGGGCTGAGCCGCCGCCCGGATGGCGCTGCTCGCCGCGCTCGCCCTCTGCCTGCTCCTGCCGCCCGGCGCCCGCGCCCAGAGCGCCGCAGGTGAGTGCCCCCCGCCCGCCCCGGGCGGGCCCCGGGGAAAGTTGGGCGGGTGCGGGGGACGGTGGTGGCTCGGGGCTCGGCGGCCAGAGCCCGGGTCTCTCCTCCGGACGCCGGCAGCGAGCCCGCGCCCCGCGCCCCGCGCCCCGCGCCCCGCGCCCCGCGCCCCGCGCCCCGCGCCCCGCGCCCCGCGCCCCGCGCCCCGCGCCCCGCGCCCCGCGGTTGGCCAAGTTGCCCGCCGCACTCCCGGGCCCCGGCGGCGGAGGAACTTTCGCGGCGGCTGCGGGCATTTCCACTCGCTGCTCCCACTTGTCGGAATCCGTCACCCGCGTGTGTGCGGGTGCGGGATGGGCGCGGGGCGGTCTGGCCGCGGCTCCCCGGGCAGCGCGCGCTTCGGGCTGCGGACGGGGCGTCAGCGGCGGGGCTGGCGGGGCCGCCGGGCTGCTTCCCTCCCGGAGGCACGGGGAGCGCCGGACCACCCCGTGCACGCCGCCCTCCAGCCGGTCCTCACCCGGCGCCGACTGCACCTGTGCGGTCTGTGCTCATCACAGATCGATATTCCCCCCCCCCCCTTCCCTCCCCCCGAGCAAATGGGCGCCTGTTAAGGACATTTCCAGAGCGGCTTCGCCCTGTGAGCCTTCAGTCTGCTCCTGGAAAGTTTGGGGGACCCCTATGTGGGTCTGCCCATGGGGAGAAGGGGCGCAGGGGCATGCTCCGTGTGGGGGTGCCCTGGTGTGTTCCGGATGGCACGTTGGCATGCACAGGAGACCCCCACGATTCGGGGCCTCCATACCACCAAACTGCACACCACAGGCGGTTCCCAGCCCTCGAACCCCCAAAAGAGCAGTGGCGGGAAGGAGAGGAGGGAGGAAGCGGCGAAGGCAAGCTTCCAAGTTCAAAATCACCTTGAAGTTCCTGCGCGCCCGTTGGCGTTGGGGTGGTTGCTGGGGTCGGGTCGCAGGGGCAGGCGGAGACCAGCAGTGGCACTCAGGGAAGGCGCTTTCGGATGCTGAGGACCGGCGGGCCCGTTCTGTTATCAGCAGAGGAAGGAAGAAAGACAGCAGGCAGGCGGGCAGGCCGGGAGCTCCGGGAATGCGCCCTCTCCAGACAGGCTGCCTCCGAAGTTAAGGACGCTGGAGGGACCCTCTGCCTGAAATGCCAGGCTCCTTTGCTCCAGACCCGAACGGCAGCTGACTGTGGGGCTTGTGTGGAGGGACAGCCTGTCTCCCGGCGGGGAAGTTAGGCGGCCAGGACGCTTCCCTGGAGGCGTGTGAAGAGGAGAAGGTCGGATTAGCCAGGGGGAGAAGAGGATACACATGACGCTGATGTAAAGACGGTGCTCAGGTCCTGGTTTCCTGGCTTTGGGGTCTGTGCGAGGCGTGCTAAGGAGGGAGGGGGGGAGGCTGCTTGTGGCGGTCCTGGGGACCCGGCATGCCTTGTGCCTTAGGTTTTCCCTGTCCTCCAAGTCCTGGCCCACAGGAATAGTATGTGCTCACGTTGTCGCAGCAGCAGCAGCAGCAGCAGCAACAACAACAACAACAACAGCAACAAAACAGTATTAAAAAGATCCCACCATGGGTCTCACGGGGTCCGTTCTTGGGTTAGCGTTCGGTAAAGCCTGAGCGGCTTGGGGACCAGTTCCGTGCAGAAAGCACGCCGGTTCGGGATGCTGCCGCCAGGTGGCGCTCGCCCACAACGGTTAAAATGCAAATCTAGTTGCTTTCATCTCTGAATAGAACTTCTTTTCAAATTTTAAATGAGTAATGTGTTTATTCAGCAGCCTTTTGTTAAAAGGCGTCAGAGGAGTGTGAGGAGCGAGCACCTTTTCTTTGTTTGCTCTTTGGAACCCAGGGGAAAGGAAAGCCACCCTGGAGGACAGTTTGGGAAGAAATGGACTGTTCAGGCACCATATGCTTCCTGCAGTTCCACCTGAGCCGGCTGGCTCCTGCGGATCGCCCACAGCCTGCACGGAGCAAGCGGCCACGTTTGTTCCAGGGGCTCCTTAAGTGAGTGGGCGTGGATTGTTTTGGTGACTGGGTGTATCCTAAGCCTCATTTGCAAAAATGAGGATTTTCAGTGTCGTCTATTCATTCTAGTTTCACGCTAACCAGACTATTTAAATTAGGTGACTTTCCTAGGTTCCCTCATGAGGAACGCTGCAAATGTTGACTTTTAAAAATGGGCCTTTATGTTACATTTTTTTCTAAACACAGAAATTGTTGGAATCCAAATCTAGCATATATATAAAAACAGCTTGATTTCCTTTAAAGACTCTTGTTTAAAACTTTTGTCAAGTTTGGGTAAATAATACATTTTAAATTCAATGGCATGCTCTCTCTATTCTTTTAATATGAAAATTCCCACTTTGGAAAGAAACTTCAAGTCTGTAAGCTTCCATTTAGCAAGCAGTTGGGGCGATACGTTTTGCTGTACCATGCTGGTTCCTGTGTCCAGAAGTCCATGGTGCCATTCTCCTTACTCTAAGGAGTGTTTCCGGAGTCAGGATGATTTTTGTAAGGAATGCTAGTAAAAAAAAAAAAAAAAGCATCGAAAGTCAGCCTGTTACGAGTGTGGCAAAACATGATCTAGGATGGGTTAAGAGGGAAACAGTTAAACAAGCGGAGAAGGGGGTAATTGGTCCATTTTCTGCCGGGCATCCGCCTTCATATATTGAGAGCAGAAAACGGATCCTAGAGGGGGCTGGCTTGCGATCGCAGTCTTTAGCAGTGCGGTCATTTAACGCGATAATCATTGCCAGAGGCCTCTGGGGAACTGTTAGCAGTACAGTCAGATCTCACTTTCGGTCTTGGATTGCTCGATTTGTTTCCTGATAAAAGAACAATTAACGTGCAAACCTGGCTTGGATCCTGTTTCAGCAGCAATTGCAAACACATCCCCGGTGACAGCAGACCATCTTCTTGGGTTATAACGCACTATCCTTCTTTCTCCTCCACTTAATTTCTTCTTGCTTCCCCGTCCCGTCCCCCCCAGCCCCCCGGCACACACACACACACACACACACACACACACACACACACGCACACAGCTCCTGCGGGCTCTGTCCGAGCTGCCAGCCGAGAGGCGTCCGCTGTCCTACGTAACCCTCACCTTTCAGAGCCATGATCACAGGGCGTCACAGCATTGTTCTTTTCAGCATGGGATACTCCCATGACTCTCGGGCGGCGTTGCTGTGGAAACGGGCAATGCCATATAGGCGGTGGGCCCTTGATAAATATTTATTGATGATGAGGATGAAGAGATGGTGGCGTCTCTTGGCAACCATGGCGAGGGATACGGGAGTTGAAGCCGAGAGGCAGTCTGGGAGAGAGAGAGAGAGAGGGGGGGGGGGGCAGGGGAGGAGAGAGAGAGAAATGAGGGTGAGCTTTGGAGTCCGAAGTCCTAAGTTTGAATCCTGCCACTGCTGCTCTCTCCAGCTTTGCCAGCTCGCGCACTTCATTCCTCTTCTTGGATCCCCAGCTTCTCATTTGTGAGAGGGGATGGTTATCGCTGCTTCTTTGGATTCTGGGAAGACTGAAGATGGTGCGTGCGGAGTGAAGAGGGGACCGTGCACAGCGGGACTTGATTCCTCCCGGAGCTTGGTCGGGGGCTGGCCTTGGCATCGGTGTGTGGACACAGGCCAGAGGAGCATTGGTGGGCAGCTGGGTTAGGAATTGGCAGTGAGATGGCAGGTTTTGGTGATGATTTCTACTTTTTCGTCTTGTTGGAGGTTGATTCCCTGCCACCAGAAGGAGATTTAAAATGAAAATTTCTAACAGGTGACACTAATACATGTGGCCATTCAGGGGTTTAGACAGGGACTGTTTTAAGTACGTTTACGTTCCTAAATGAGAACCGATTAAAAAATACACATGGTTGCACATTGTAATGGGAAAGTGTTTGGGTTTATCCCCTCTCCGTTCCTGCCACCCTTCCTCCTCCAACCTTCCCCCCCTCCAGGGCCCTGTCCCTCATCCATGCCCATCTCTTACCCAGAAACCAGGTGCATGCGCTCCAGGGCCTCAGGGGGCAGGCGCGTTGTGCCCTCGGTAACAAGCAAAGAATAAGCTGACATACAGAAGGCTGTGGCATTCCAAAAAATAAAAAAGGGGAAAAGCTATGAGGTTATTGAAAATAAACCATGTCCAACAAGTGTAATAGCCTTTACAAGCGCATTACAGACTTGGGCTGGGAGGCAACACCATGTAGATATTAGAAAGCTGCTGGAATGTCTCCAAAATTAGATAAAACGGAGTCGAATTGGGTTGGAGAGGGAGAAACCCACAGACTT